CTCGGCGACGGGGCACTGCGACAGAGCACGGACAGAGATGCGGGGCTCCTGGCGACAGGCAGAGGCGCGCGGACAGGCTGTCTGCGCGTGCGGCGATGCGCGCTAATGGATCGCTGGCTGATGTGCACGCGAGGCATGGTGTGGTGACGAATAATCGTGTATCTTGACCCGGTATGTGAATAAACGTGCGCTAACGGCCTGCGCTTAAACACGATAAGTTGTAACGAAAGGCGCCCTAGGTCTTCTTTCGAACACGGTTGTATGATAAACACCCACTGTCGGCCTTGTCTAATGAACAAAAGTTCGATTTTTTATTAACTTCTCAACATAAATTTCGAATGGTAAAGACAAGTATTTATAGAGGCTAACTAAGTCTAATCTATGATAACTAGAACTCCAAACTCATGGAAATAAAATAAACTCCTAAGACAACTAAATATTTAGAATCAAAGACTTACCAAATAACTAATTAGGCACATACCTTTATTTCAAATGCTAACCAAACTAAGAGTCCCAATATGCTATGGGAATCGGCCCTTGGCCTTCTAGATGGATCTAGGTGTTGCTTGTGCTGCATGTCGCTCGGACTTGCCCTAGGCGGCGCGCTATTCCTCGTCCGCCGAGGTCGGGCACTTATCCGCGCCCCACGTGTCACTCATCGCGCCCGGTGCGTGTCCGTCCCGTCGTGTCTCGATCTTCCCACGAGTGATCGGCACGCTAACCTCCTTCATTCGCTGGCTCGCCGCTCTCATCTTTCGCGCCATCCATCCCTCGCGTGGTCGAACCATATGCAAGCCGTCGTTTGTGAACCACCCGATCCACTCGCTATGCCATCATCATCCCGCAACCTTTAATCACGCGTGTTCGCCTTTGCGTGATCCCGCTTCACGCGACCTTTGCCAAGTTTGTTAGTTGTTCACGCGAATTGCGCACCTAGGGCTCATGCGACATCTTCGGGTGAGTGTCTTTGTGTTCGCGCGAGCTCCTCTTGCGCGTACCCACTTCTTTACACGAGACTCTCGTCGTCTACCCCGCGTACGCGTTGCCCGTCTCGTGCTCCTGCGTCTCGTATTCTAGCCCGCACACTTGTTGTTTCGCCCTTCTGCACGGCCTCGCCCGATTGCATTCTCCATCGGCTCTCATCGTTCTCGGGCCTCAAAATCCCCATCTTCATCATGTGGCCTGGATGCGCGCACGACTAGATGTCTGCGAGGCTGCTGAGACTCAGCACCGCAGCTGGGCGTGGGCTGCGGCCGAGCCGTCGGCCGGCGATTTTTTCGGCAACCCAGGGTTCATTAGGCCCCTTAGGATGTCTAGAGTCCATTTAGGAAATTTAACTCGAGAGATTATGCTTGCATTTTAAAATTACTCGGTGCTAAAAACGAGTTGATCTAGGGTTCTAGTTCTTCGATCATCCTAACTCATTTCAAGTTGAAAATTTAACCATACATTCAACATGATTTATGAAGATTTTAGATCTATAAACCTCAGCAGAAACCCATCATATAAGGCTTGTAAAATTCACCAGCTTAGACATATGATCCGATTTTTGAAACACTATCATATGACTTTCAAAAATCCTCAAATTTTAAACAAAACCTCAACATAATATTTAAGATATATAGGCAATAGATCTCAACAAGAATAGATCTTTGACTCATTTAACATAAAATAGCCATTTTAGATCTAGATCTACATTTCTGGTTCACATAGCAAATAATCTCCAAAAATCCTAAAATTAATGTAATTATGACAGTAGTGGGAAGAAGAGATAAGGGTATCATCTGGATAGGAGTAGACCAGTTGACTGAGTTAAAGAAATAGTATTCGAGGTTAATTATTGTGTTTTACTTCTGAACTTGAAGTTTAGTTTTAGTATTTCCGAGGACGAAAATATATTAAGGGGAATAGATTGTAATACCCCAGTATATTATTAATAAGCAAAGCGGTCGTAGCTTCTGAGAGTAAGCTAATCCTTATTAATAAATTCTAATAGCTTGCAAGAGTGAGTTATTAAATTCAGACGTTCCAAGTTAGAGTTTAAACCGAGAAAGGTTCGGATGAGATTTTATATCGCTACTGGACATATTTTAGTCAAGTCTCAGTTCAATTTTCCTTCATAAGTCGAGAATAATTAAAATAAGTCGCGATGAGGATCGAGTTCAAGCGCACTCGAGCGATTATAAAAAATCGAGCCTCGAGCCAAGTCAAATCAAACTCGGCCCAAGCCATGGCCGAACGCCCGCGCACAAACCCAAGTGTGCTAGCACAACCACGCGGCCCAACAATCACTCGCGACCCTAGTACACTAGTACCTCATGCGGTCTAAAAACTTCCACACAGACAGTTAGTGTTATATACTGAAAGCTTGGCTTTACATGTTATTACACATTTGTCCTTTATTAATGAGAATCATGTTAGATTAAACAAGATCTACGTTCTGTTATTCTGCACTTAGATAGAGTGGGTCGTCATCGGGTGAACCAAAGATCATTCTATCCGTTACTTGCGAACAAGAA